TACCGCGCGCCTCGAAACATTAGTTTCGAAAGGAAATGACAATGAGTACGGGCGATGCGACACGACGATGAGTGGCGGATTGTCTAACTCTCTCCTTTTGACTCTGAACTATGAAGAGAAAACAATCGCAGTGAGGGTGTTGTCACATGTTTGATCGATATCTTGTAGCGAGTTGTGGTCTTCGCATTAGACCGAACGATATTACCCGTGATACAACGCACGCGACTCTAATGAACAGGGGACCGCTTAGACGCGGTTTACTGGCGCAACGGGATCGCTTGGGATGTCGTCTTGTTTGGTTGCTCAGTTTGTGCGGAGGGTTCGGCGAACGGTAAAACGCATAATTTAACGATTGGTCGCTTGAACTCCGATTGTGCGGTTTTGACGGAAACCACGCGTACCAGACCGTCAGGGCCCGGATGACACCGGGTTACGCGTCCGAGCTCCCACTTGCACGGGGGGAGTAGCGGATTTCTGAGGAGCACCATCGCGCCCACCTTGATTCCCTCTTTCTCGCGGCACCATTTACTTCGCTGTTGGAGCGTATTAACATAATCTGATTGCCATACTTGCCAGAAAGTTTCTGTTATCTGCCGAATTAGTTGCCATCGAGAGAGTCGATTCTCGTTGATGTGCAACAGCGAGGGCTCGGGCGGCATCGTGATCGCCGAGCCGATTAAGAAATGGCCTGGAGTAAGGGGCTCGAAATCATCGAGCGTGTCCGTAAGCGGCTCCAAGGGCCTGGAATTTAAACAAGCTTCGATTCGGGAGAGCAAGGTTGTGAACTCTTCGAAGGTGAGGAAGTGAGATCCGAGAACGCGTCGAATATGATGCTTGACGCTTCGCACGCCCGACTCCCACAAACCACCGAAATGAGGCGCGTGCGGCGGAATAAACTTCCAGAGAATGCCGTCAGAAGCGGTGCGATTTTGGAAGTCATTATCCGATAGCGCGGCTTGATAGGCGTTGCGTAGCTCCTTGTCGGCGCCGGCAAATGTCGTTCCGTTGTCGGAATACATCGTGCACGGCAGTCCGCGCCGCGAACAGAATCGCGTAAATGCGAGAAGAAAAGCCTGAGTCGAGTAATCGCTTAC